ATTAAAAGTTAATAGATTTCATTAGTCAACGATTAAAATTTTTAAATTTCTAAATTTAAGGATTTTTCCTAGTATAGTATAAAATAAAAAGTTAAAAATTTTAAATTTAATAAGATAAAGGATGTATAATTTAGCCGTTTCTGGCACAGCACTAAATCATAGTAGAATTCTGGTATTATTATATACTAATTTCTTATCTCAATGCCTTTGACCGGATTCCCCACTTCAAATTACCAATTCCATTTGCTCTTTTTCTTTTTCAATTTTAAATATTAATATTAAAAAAATCATGATATTCTCACTCAATCATAACTAATATATAAAATATAATATAAATGTTGATTTTTTCTTTTCTGGTATTATTGTTCTTCCCAAAAAGGAAAAGCACTATACATATCGCTGTTTGTTGTCACCCACCCAGATCAAAAACCCTCAGAAAGGTCCTCCTCCTCACAATTCAAAAGCTTCCTCTCCTCTAATAAAAGAATCCCATTTGTCTTCATTCTGATGGCAGCAGTATGGAATCCTCATCCTCTTCCCTTCCACTCAACGGTCGTGTAGCCATCGTAACCGGAGCTTCCCGTGCCATAGGCCGTGCCATTGCCACTCACCTCCATTCCCTTGGTGCTAGAGTTGTTGTCAATTATGCTTCCAGTTCAAGCTCAGCCGATCAACTGATATCTGAACTGAATGCATCAGCTCCCCCTTCTCATCCCACAGCAGTTGCTATCAAAGCAGATGTTTCAGATCCGGATCAGGTCAAACAACTCTTTGACAAAGCTGAACAAGAATTCGGCTCAAAAATCCACATACTTGTTAACTGTGCAGGGGTGCTGGATGCAAAGTATCCTTCCTTGGCAAATACAACAGTGGAGGATTGGGATTGGACATTCAACATCAATACCAAAGGATCATTTCTGTGTTGCCGGGAAGCAGCAAACCGGCTAACACGCGAAGGAGGTGCAAGGATCATTTCAATCTCAACATCTGTAGTGGGATCACTTCTGCCTGGATACGCAGCCTATGCTGCTTCCAAGGCAGCTGTTGAGACCATGATCAAGATCCTGGCTAAGGAGCTCAAAGGTACCCAGATAACTGCTAATATTGTTGCTCCAGGCCCTGTAGCCACAGAGATGTTCTTTGCAGGTAAAACTGAGGAAACTGTGAAGAGGATTGTGGATGCTACCCCTTTAGGAAGATTGGGTGAACCAAATGATATCAGTGGGATTGTGGGATTCTTGGCAACTGATGCAGGGGAATGGATCAATGGGCAAGTAATTAGGGTTAATGGTGGATTTGTTGTATAAACAACAGAATTTTGAATGAATTCGAAATTCCCCTTTGATCTCGTTAAAGTTCCTTCCTTTTTTCTATTTTTGTAATGTTGTTCAATCAATAAAAGAAGAATTTCTTCTGGAAAAATCACAATTCTTCAATTTTCTGTTTTTTTATCTGGATTTTATGTAAAAGGATATACAAGGAAGGTTGATCTTGTTAAAGTTCCTTCCTTTTTCCATTTTTGTAATGTTGTTCATGATGAATTTCTTCTGGGAAAATCACAGTTCTTCCATTTTTTATTTTTACTAGATTTTATGTGAAAGGATATGGAGGGAAGGTTGATTTTGGACCTTATATGTGATGATAAGGAAGGTTGATTTTGGACCTATATTTATGTGGTGATGGTTCTGAATTTTTCCATGTACAGGTCTTGGCTCCATATTGACTCCATGGCTGCAGCCCCTGTGACAACCGCCACCAATAGCAGCCCACCGACGGAATCACCGCCATCGGCTCTCCCATTAAAGGGCCGAGTAGCTATAGTAACTGGGTCGTCTCGTGGGATTGGCCGGGAAATAGCTACCCACCTGGCTGAGCTTGGGGCTAAACTCGTTATCAACTACACCTCCAACTCGGCCCAAGCCGATAACGTAACGGCCGAGATCAATTCTCTCTATTCTGATGACGGCCCACGAGCAGTCTCTGTCCGTGCCGATGTCTCCGACCCTGTCCAGGTTAAGTTTCTCTTCGACTCCGCCGAGCGCGCCTTTGGCTCTCCGATTCACGTCCTGGTTAACTCCGCTGGGATTGTGGATTCTAAGTATCCCAAAGTAGCCAATACTTCTGTGGAGGACTTCGATTGGATTTTCAGGTATTGATGTTTAATCATGGGAATCTTAGACCAAAATTGAATTATTTCTTAACTCCTGTATGTGATTGTTTCAGTGTGAATACAAGAGGGTCGTTCTTATGCTGCAAGGAGGCAGCGAACCGTCTAAAACGCGGCGGTGGTGGGCGGATTATATTGCTATCAACATCCATGGTGGGGGAGTTGAAGCCTGGGTTTGGGGCATACGCAGCATCAAAGGCTGCAGTGGAGACAATGGTGAAAATCCTGGCAAAGGAGCTCAAGGGGACCGCCATTACTGCCAACTGTGTAGCGCCAGGGCCAATTGCAACAGAAATGTTCTTTAGCGGAAGGACTGAGGAGATGGTGCAGAAAGCAATCGACGAGATCCCACTTGACCGGCTTGGTGAGACAAAGGATGTGGCTCCCTTTGTTGGGTTCTTGGCTACTGATGCCAGTGAGTGGATCAATGGACAGGTTATTCGTGTTACTGGGGGCTCCTGTTGAGTGAAGACTGTTTCTTGATATTGCAGGTTGATAATCCTTCTCATCTGTAAGCATATAGAATTCGTTTTTGTTACTGTGTCATTGCCTTGCCTGTCTTATAATTTCCCATGTAAATTTTAAGCTCAAATCCAAGTGAACCATGTTATATAGACTCGAGATTATGTGTTAACCAATGTTCTACAAGTTCTATCATGTTTACATGGATGCAAAGTAACTGATATATTGTGTTGGACAAGAATTTGTTTGATGTTTTCCACATTCTATCATGTTTACAAGGATGTATAGTAGCTGATATATAGTGTTGGACATGAGTTTGATAATTTCCACGTTCTATCATGTTTACATGGATGTAAAGTAGCTGACATATAGTGTTGGACATTAGTTAGTTTGATGTTCTCCACATTCTATCATGTTTACATGGATGTAAAGTAGCTGATATAAATGGGTTTGTTAAGGTAAAATGGGAGAGTTTTGTGTGACAGCAAAAGCCTTCTGCTGTTCGCACAGCCAAAAGACAGACTTTAGAATGGAAGTGCTTATTGCTTAATTGTTTTTCTCTTCTTTATCAACCATTCTTGAATCTTCCCTGATGCACTTCTGGAATTCCTCTTTTTCTCAGTCGTAAATCAAGTAAAGCTGGGGAGATGATCAAGAGGTAGGAGCTTGAGTTCATGTTGCATCTTTCTTGTTTGTTTGTTCCCCTTACCTATCTCCCATTTCTGTCCCATATTTATTTCCATCATATTGTATTTTTTACCGGCCAGAAATAATATTTCATTCAGGTACCTAATTTCCATCATATTGTTATTGTATCAATTACCATGAAAAAAATACAATAAAAGCCTGCTTTTATATGTATATATATGGGCCGAGTTGGTTTACATTTAGTATAATTGCTGGGATTCATGTATTATTGTTGAAATTGTGCAATAAATATAATTTATTATATGAATTTATTAAAATATCTTTAATAAAATGACAAGCCATTATTCTGTAAACACATTTTTATTTTTATTTTTTGTGTTTCTAATTTACACAAAAAATCAGCTCATGTTACTATGAGTCTACGACACCACATAATTTAAGATTTAGTTAATGTACATTCTAGTATTTTTGTTTTTTTAATTTCTTTCTTGAAGGCTCTGATATTCTAATGGTTCAGTTTGTTTTGGTGGCATATTTCGTATGTCATGGAGTGAAGACAATGAATGCTCATCCAACAGGAACCCCTTTCTACTCAAGCCGGCCCTCTTTATTTTGAGAACTAGAATTCGAGACATTGACGTAAACGTAAAGACTAAAACTTTTACATATTGAAATATCTTTTACCATACATTTTTGGTACAAATTATATTAAAAAAATAAAAATAAAAATAATTAGAATATCTTTACATTTAAAATTGTTAGATCCTCTTGATTGTTTATAATTCTGTAAAAAAAAATGCCAAAAGACTGAATTTCTTCATTTTCAGCCTTGGCAATCTGCAATAAGGCAATCTGCAATAATGCAATCCTTATCACAGGACATACCCACCCTGCCCTGACAATGCAAAAGACCGGCCTAATTAACGTACCGTCTCCTCTCTCCAGAAATTCCCTTCTAGTTCACACAATTACTCCGTTATGGTTACCAATTCAATCTCATGTGCTGATAAAAAAAAAAAAAAAATTCAATCTCATGTGACCTCCCTCCACAACACAAAGTAGCCAAAGCCACCGGAGCATCTAGGGGCATCGGCCGAGCCATTGCTCTTCATCTGGCCTCACTTGGAGCAAAAGTTATCATCAACTCAGCCGGAATTGCGAATCCCAAGAAACCCAAACCCACCATAGCCAACACTTCCGTGGAGGATTTCGACAGAATTTTTGGGTAAATCTATGCTAAAAAGACAGCTACGATTAACATAAGTACGTTTGTAATAAATGTTTGCACTTTGCAGTGTCAATACTAGAGGAGCATTCATATGCTGCAGAGAGGCAGCGAACAGGTTGAAGCGCGGTGGCGGTGGGCGTGGATTGTTAAGAGACATTCACTAATATAGAATCTCCATCACAGCGCAAAATCAATCACTAGCCCGTTAGCTAGCCGCTAGGCACATTTATTTCCTAGTTTTTTCCTTATTCAATTCCGTACTGTTAGCTTAGAATCTTTTGCCATACCAGCATTATATATATATATACTTGAATTTCTATGAAATATATGCAAGAACATTATTTTTCACATGGTATGAGAGCAGAATTGATCCTTTAGAATTTTATTTTTGCTGTCCAAATATAGCTGGCCTTAGGGCTGAAAAAGAATCAGCGAAAATTCCCAGTAAGTTTATTGGCAGCTCAAAGACTTCTCCAGCTCTCTTCTATTCTTGTAAGAAATTTATGAATTTGTATTCCTCTCTCAGTGATATCTCTTGTAAGAATATCATGAACTTATCTAATTAAATCTTAGATAGTGGTGTTTCAAATCACGTGATTGGCTATAAAAATAAACTTGAAAGATTTTAAATTTAAATTATATAATATAAAAATAAATATAAGTAAAAAAAAAAGAAAATTATCACTTATTATGCAACCTAAAGGTAGAAAATAAAAAATGATGATCCCAATTGATACAAGTTTACATTTATGGACTCACCCTGGATTTCCGCCATTCCCTGGGCCGCCCTGACATCTTCGCTTAAGTAATACATGCATCATGGATTACGTTTGGAATATGCATCATGCAATGCGTACGCAAGTATTCCTAGCTATTAAACTTAAATTAAGTTTAATATTGAAGTTTATGCAGCCTATCCATTTTGAATGTTTTACTTTTCCATGGACACATTTTATAAGAACTTATTTCATAGGACGCTGGTGTAGCTACATATTATTTTGTT